TGTTCATCTTTGTTGTCCTCACTATTGGCCTTGGCAGCTTCTTCACTTCCACTGGTATTTTACAAAGCTCTGAAATGACTGAATAAATTGCTGAAGCAAAACCAGTTTAAATGCTTTGAGATTTTATTTCTAAGAGATTCTGCATAAACAGAAACTGTTTTGACCTTCAATCAAGCAACAGAAGAGCCATCTCCAGCTGTGTTTCAATTGCTTTGAGAAATCCTGCTGAGTATCTCAAGAGGAGCATGCCTGCACCTGCAACTACATGTTACTACCAGACTGAACAGCATGTGGAAACAAGAAAACACCCAGACCTTCCAGACACGCTTTCCACTAAAACTATGGATGATGTACAAAGCTAAATGGAATACAAGCAGTATTTGAGGGAAGTTTACAAATTATAGTTGGTATCATGTATTTGTTGTAGACATGCCAGAACTATGTTTACCTCTATTTTTTTTTTTGACAAGCAGTCAGGGGGCCAAATCTTGCAACGTGCTGCACCGTGCACACAGGTGGGCAAGCACCCCTCCACACCTCTTTGTCTGAGAACTCCTTTGGTACTGCGAGCTTTGCTGTACCTCACCATCCTGCCTTATCACACTCCCTGGAGAGAGAAAGGAGGGGGAGCCTGGAGAATCCAGTGACAGCAGCAGCTGGAGTGATGAGGGGAGCAGTAGCCAGCACAGCCTGGGGTCCACAGTATAACCCCTTGCAAGCCACGTAAAGCCCACAGGTCACTAGTTGGACTACCCTAATCTATAGTGAACTTTTTGCTATGCACCTGTTAGATGTAAAGTACAGCATTGATAGGATTTATCTGCAAAAAGGGAGATGTGTGGGTGTGCATGAGAATGCATGTATGTGTGTGTGTGCACATGTCCAAAGTTAGCTTTCACTAAGCTGTAGTATACAAACTTATTATGGTCCGTGATAACCACGGAGATGGCTGCTTTGTATTGTGCTCTGAATTATTTTTCCTCACAGTGAGGAATTCTTCATTTAAAGTTATCCTAATTCTGGGCAGGTATTCCCTGGTCCTTTGTCTTAGGCCCCTGCCAAACATTCAGTTTAAGATGCAATGGAATCTAATTGTCAATTCCAACAACTGAGAGTCCTGCCCTGCTACAAGCATGGCAGGACATGCAATTTTGGGACTGAGGATTAGATTCCAATTGTACCTTACTTGCTGGTGCAGGGGAAGCTGGGGCTCCATGTATGGGGAAGAAGAAGTCAGCTGATTATCAGTTGAGGCCAGGAACCAAACCAATCCCCAGTCCCAGCTATCAAACAGCTCAGTGCATAGTGAGTCCAGCATTGGGCTGCACCAACCTGATGCCAGACTTCCTGTGCACCTGGAGCTATAAAACAACATGTGCCACCCCCTACATGAGGCTTATACAGCTTCCTGTGCTTTGGGAGTGCAGCATTGGGCTGCCAAAGTTGGATGGCAGGCTCTCTGTACACCAGGACCTGTCAAAACCTCTGTGCACTGCCCAGCTGAGTGGCACATGGGGTTTTTTGACAGGTCCACACCACACATTCAATTCAAAGCATGATACAAATTAGTCACAAAGTTATTCCACATCATATGGGATATGTGGGATAACTTTTTAGCTCGTTTACTACATTATCATGCCTTAAACTGAGTTGCATGTGTGGCCAGTTACTATTTAAGGCATGATTAACTTGTTAATCATGTCTTAGATTGAATGCGTGTTGGGGGCCTTACTGCTAGACACTGTGCACTTTGGAATATGTACCCAAAGCCAGCCAGAATCTACAGAAATTACAGGAGCTGGAGCCAAACTATTCAACATCACAAGATGCCTGCTGGAGAAAGATTCATGACAGAATCTTTAAGATGCTAGGATCTCTTAATTCCCTGTGGTGTAGTAATATGTGAAAGGAACTATGATTTAGTCTTCATGGAGTCCACCGTAGCTCCCAGTACAAGAACTGTTTAAGAGTGTTGGGCTATACAAGGAAAAAAGAGGAGGAGGAACAGAAGATTTGCTACAGCATATTTGTCAGTTAAACTGTTTGTCTATTGATGATCATCAGAAACTGCCTCTGCAGCTGATTTTCTATAGTATCCTGGGTCAAAACAAGGCCCTACTTGTTTAGCTTCTGACAATCTTAGCCATGAGGAAAAAACCTCTATTACTAAGCTAAATCTCACTAAGGCTGCTACAAGTTCTTCAAACCTTCTGGTTTTTCTTGTATTCCTCCTCAGATTTGTCAGACATTAGAAAGACAAGGGTTCTGTTCCTAAGAATCTTATTACATTTCCCCCCCTTCCCCCTCTATTTTTGCTCACCAGGAGGATCCAATTCACAAGTTAGATGAGCATCTTAAATAAGAATCTTAGGCTTTGATATAGGCAAGGAATACTACACTACAAACCAGCTCTGTCTCTCACTTTCAGGTCAACAGATACATTTTTTAATGCCCATTCTCTGAAGTCATTAAGGATATCCTTCTTCAATTAAGAACCCTTTGGTTCATGCAGTCCTTAAAGTTTTGTCTTCATTTGTTTTATGCTGGACATTCTTCTTCCCCATACATGGATATTGTCATCCAGCCTTTAGCTTTTAAATTAGAACAGTGATATTTCAAGTACGGAAATCCATTATAAATTGATTAAAAACCACAAAGACCATACTCCTTTAATAAACTACAGTTTAGTAGCAGCAGTTTTAATTTAGCAACTGAACCATGGAATATGTCACATTTTCAGAAAATCAAGTTTTGGGTGATTTTCAACACTAAAATAGAATTTGCACAAATAGTACATTACATCTATTAATATCTGCTATTTAGAAAGGAAGGCATTTGTGTATTCTAGCAAGATATCGAGTGTGAGAGAACTGAGAGGGAGAAAGCTTGCAAAAATACAATGTGGTGGGCAAGTTTAAAATTATGAAATTGAATTAAGGTTATAGCTGTGCTGCAGCACTACATTTGTCAGGAATCTATTATGGACAATCCTCCACTTCTCCATTCTGCAATTTGATCATAACTGAATCCATCATTGCCATTCAGTACTGTCTTAATTTTTGTTCAGTTACAGCATCCTCACTTCCCATTAACTGTTCATATTTCATGGCTCAAAAAGTGACAAATTTGTACTATTAATACCTTCTTGATGTCATGAATTTAGATTATTTTATTTTTTAGTATAGACATGTTTGGGTATAATATGTTAAAAAAAAATCGATATATAAAATGTCTGAGGATATATAAAGAGCATACTGTCAGATGTACACTCTGAAAAAAACTGAAATCTTTCTCCATTAAAACAAATTTCAGAAAATCTAGGAAACAAACTAGACCATATGAAAGGCTGTAATAGAAGATTCCAACATACTTGATGTTAAAAACATAAAAGACAGTAGTGGGAACACAAACATAACTTGTTTAAAGTCTTAATCAAAAACCTTGAGGGAAGCAGAAAGAAGTTGTAGATACTTCATTTTTAACTGAGTTCAAAACAATTCGAAAGAGAACCTCAAGATGATATTTAAGAACAGAGTTGATTTTATTAGGCTATGATTCTTACCAGGAAATGTAGTGATTAATTTATCTAGGTGTTGGGTTTTTTTTAGCTGAAAAGTAAACCAAGTTTCCTCAATACTTTTTTATTAGGGCTGTCAATTAATTTCAGTTAATGCGTGTGATGAATGCATTAACTGGTTCTTGCAATAATTTCTTCAACGCGTTAATTGCACATGTGGTTTTGGAGCCAGTGCCCAGACTCTGCTCTGCTGCCTCCAGGCCATCCAGCAGGGCAGCACAGAGGACCACAGGGCAGCCCGCACACAGGCTCTGGGCAGCTGCAGCAGGTGAGGGCAGGAGTGGGTGTGGAGACATGTACACAGACATATACGAGCAACTGCAGCCTGCACGCTGCATGTAGAGCAATGCTGCACCGGTAAGTCTGTGGAGGGGGAGGGACGGGGAGAAAGGAGAGGGGCAGACTGAGGCCTCCATGGTGAGGGAGAGAGGCAGGGGCAGTCACTAGGGTGAATGGGGACCCAGGGCAGTTAGTGGAACAGAGCTGCAGGAGACTTGTCCAGAAGTGCGGGGTGGGGGGGAGGGCACGGCTACCTACTGCTGTGCACACCCCTGGGGGGAAGGCATGGAGAGCATGTGCCCCCTGGATTTGTGTGTGGGGTAGAGGTGGGCTGTCCACTGCGGGCTGAGGCTCTGTACCCTACTGCCTTTGCCCTGGGAGCTGCTCAACGCCATGTTGTGCCTCCCCTGCCAGGCAGACATGGGATGCATGGCACAGCCAGCGCATGGGTCCCAGGGCAAAGGCAGCAGGGCACAGAGCCCCAGCCCATAGTAGGAAGCTTGCTCTCACCCCACGCACAAATCCAGGGGCACAGGCCCCCATGCCTTTGCCAGGAGTGCATGCAGTGGTGGGGACCTGTGCCCCTGGATGCATCTCCCGTGGCTCCACTGCATGATCCATCTCTGCCCCACTCCCCCCCTCACTGTGGGGCCTCGATCTGCCCTCCTGCCCCTTCCACTTTGCATTCTTACCTGCTGGGTGCTGTGTGTGTCTGTTTTTGCCCCTCACTCCGAAGCCACAGCCCTCCTAGCTCCGCTGCTGCCCCTCACTCCTGACCCACAGTACCCCACATCCTCCCAGGATGTGCGGGGGCTGTCCCCTCCCTGGGCTCCAAACCCTACACACACACACCCACAGCCCCCCACACCTTCACAAATCCCTGCTCCCATGCACACACCCCACCTGAACCATACAAAGTACCTGCATAATTTTGAGTTTCTGTGCACAATTTTGAGGTTTTAGCTGTGCAATTAATATCATGATTAATTGCAACTCATTTTTTTAATTGTGCAACTAATCAGGATCAATTTTTTTAATCATTTGATAGCCCTACTTTTATATATCTTTTTGCAATGAGAACAATTTGTTAAAGAATACGTTTTTTAAAAATACAAAAAAACAAACAAACAACAAAGATTATTACCTGATTGCCAAAAAGATTGAATCCATTAATTGCTTCTAGAGCTGCTTTTGCTAACCCAACAGAGCTGGAGAAAGGGGTAGGGGAGGGAGGAGGAAGAATAAAAAATAAGAGTATTACATTTACAGATCTGGAATTACACAGATAAATACCCCTATACATACCTCCATAAAAAAACTTGGGTCAAATGCTAAAAAAATAAATAAATAAATAAATTTAAAAAAAAAATGATATAGTATGTATTTTCAGAATTTTATTCAACTTTAAAGGCCAGTAACCAGCTAGAAAAATACTTCTAGTTCCCCCTTATTAATGGGCACCTGACACTCTACGCTTCAAGGCCCTTTTACCTTTATTAGCAGCAAGTCTATTTTTAGAACAATTTCCTTGTACTTGGCTCTCAAGCACTGAACTTGACAAAATAAATCTTTGAAAATAAAGTTATTGCATCAATCTGAGGTCAAAGCAGCAGCATAATTCTCATGTCAACCACAGATATAAGGTTATCTTCACATTACTTACGTGCCAGTATCCTCTAGGCCAGTGTTTCTCAACATGTAGATGGCAACCCAAAAAAGTGGGTTGCAAGAGTATTTGAAAAGGTCGTGAACAGTCACAGAAAAACATGGGAAAGCAAAAGTTTCCCCTTGCAGGCTTGCAGCCTTCCAGCCTGCATGGAACTGCTTGGGCCAACTGGAGGGAGGGGGTGCCACATGTGTCTGCATGTACACATGCATGTGGCCAGCGCACAGCCAGGCAGGGTGGTGGGAGCAGCCCTGGCAGCTAGATGCAAGTAAGTCTATGGCAAATGGGGGCTGGAGGGTCAGGGTAGTTGTAGGAGGGTCATGTGTGCATGGAG